CTCTGTGGTCCGACCTCGTATCTCGTGTTCCACTCATCTTTGTGGTTGTATGTCATGGGTTTTTCCAAATCAACTCTGTGTGGTCTTTTTGTGGTTTTGTTGGTGGATGAAGGACCTGCTTCTGTGACAGCACGGCCTTCTAGAAGTAGTCATCCAGACTTTCAGTGTGTGCTGTTCCCTCAAAGAACATTTGTACCCCATACTTCCTTGGCAGACAGAAAACTGGGATCTTGTGACATAGTTGCCATGGGATGATTCTTGTTCCCAGGGAACAACATGATTTTCAAGGTAAGGACAGTAGCTAAACCTCAGGGTGAGGAAAAGCACTGTGGAGGCAGAGAGGCAGATGAGGCACAAAAGGACAATTCAAGTGACTGTCCAGCTTCCCCAGCCTTTGGAGAGATGAACTTTCCAGATGCCCTTATTCCCAGCCTTATGTCTTCATGTGAAGAAGGCCCACACATCTCTCTCTGGGGGACCACAGGCTTGTGAGCTCTTCTTCAGAAGAACAGCACCCACTGGCAGATCTGGTGAGCCTGAGCCTCGTTCACACCCACATGGTGAAAAAGGGGTCTCTGTGTCTTCCCTCTGCAACTGGACAGAAGGAAGGAGCAGAGAAATAACACACACTCTCGTGGGGACACCGTGGGCTCTTTCACATACATCATTTGATTTAACCTCCCAGGAACTTCCTAGGAGCTAATTATTATTCTCATTATTTTAAATAACAAAACTAAAGCCCAGAAGAATATTAGTTAACACTAGCTGTTGTAACAAATAAACCCCGAAATGTAAAAGGTTTTAAAAATGACAGAAGTCTATTTCTCGTTCATTTAAATCCCAACAGGTGTTCCTTCTCAAGGGGAACTCTCCTCCAAGCGGTACTTCAGAGATGTGGCTCCCTCCACTCTTGAGACTTAAATCACTTTCAAGTCTTCTGCAGTGCTCTGGCTCCAATGGTGAGACTGATTTGAAAGAAGGGTATTTTAGAACTGGAATGAACCATAGCAATAAGTAGTCCAAACTCTGTATTTTATTGATTAAGAAACTGAGATTCAAGAAGATTGAAGGATTGGTCAAGTCCTAGATAGAGATAAGATTTCCCCCCTCAGTAAATTAAAACAAACAAACTACAAATTCAATTCAGCTTTTATTTGTAGATATGAAGCATAGGGGTTCAAAGTTCCAGAAATCCTTGGTATGGATATTTGGGCAAGGAGAAAATAATGCATGTGGCCGTAGGCAGTGTAGGAAATGCCTTTGAAGCGGGGTAACAGTAGGTGCTTTTCTCTGCCACTTCAATTCTCACCTGCTTTTCAAAATATTTGTTTCTCTCTATTGACTAACAGAAAGTGTTTCCAATAGGTGACAAGTGGGGTTTCCTGATTCAGCATCACAAGGGCAAATCTGATTATGTCTTATCTTTGGTATTCCCTATATTCCCATGAACTGCAACTTGGAGCAGGACAGGAAAGAGAGAAAGCAAACGTTTTGCAGATCTTTATCAGGTTCCCCTGAGGGAAGCAGGAGAGGAAAAAGCTTGTAAGACTAGCATGCAAGGACTGGCTAGAAGAGAAGAGGGGTAGTGGATAGAGAGGAACCCAGTTTTATACAGAAAACAACAGCAAAAGATGAGTCAGGATAGTTCTGGTACAAAAATATACAGGGAGGGGATGAAGAAGTGATAGGGTAAATATTACCCTTTGATTCACTTCTATCTAGAGCCACAGAATGAAATCACTTCTCTCCCTAGGAGATTAAAATCCAGTCTCTCTGTCTCCACCACAGAATGTCTGCCTTTCTCATTAACTGGACTTCCATATGTGGTACGGGATGACCTAAGCTGTGGAGGGCAGCGAGCTGACCAGAACAAAGGTCAGATTGTAATCTCCAAGCATCAAATCTATTTTTTGTCCACACTCTCAACATCCATTTCCTACCACCAAATAAAAGGTAGAAGAAAGAACAACAACATAAAACTGTAACAACAAAAAGGTTGTGATGTGAAATAAAGCCCTGGAAATGTCCATCTGCTGTTATCAACACGTTTGGGACTAAAATCTTTACCACTAATTCCTGTTTGGCTGTGGTGGTGTGCAGGACAGCCCTAGGGAAATCTGTAAGTGGGGGGGCGGAGACACATAACCTGTTAAGGAGACCATCACCAAAACGGAATGCATGCTTAGTAGACACAGTAAGTCCAGGTTTGCATAATAATTTTTTTTAAGGGAGAGAAATAATTTGTAAGAGAAAAAGTCATTCATTTTGAACACTATATTTTGTCCATTTGGTTGTTTGTAGTGGCCAAATCTACAAAAGTGCAAAACTTAAAACAACAACAACAACTCTCATTGAAATCTCTTGGACGATATACAATCTTCCAGAAAAGCCCCTGTGTTTTCCTTTAAGTTAGACAACAAGTGGGGAGAAGTGGGTTTGTTGTCCTGGAATACATGGTAGCAGAGGTGGAGTTTAAGTCTGAAGTTTGAAGCGTTAGATTCTTATCAATTGTGTAGAGCAAAGTGGAAATAAATTGTACATCGATTTCAAGTGAATTAGTTTCCTGAGCTCTCTGGAGGCTTGGGTGATTTTAGTAGTGGAATTCTGATGCTCTCCAACACCAACAAAGACAAAAAACATACAAACCATGGCTAAGATTGGAGAACTCTCAACTACAATGGAATTTTTAGACATCTTTTTTTAAACAGCACTGGACTGAAATATCTGAGAGATTTCATTATAATGTTCAGATCTGTTTCCTGGTAAAGGTAACTGCATGACCGACAATGAAGTCAGAATGAAAAATGAGGATAGAGCAGGAAAGATAAAAGACATCTTTCTTTGCAGTAGCAAGCGTTTGGTGACCAACTGCCTTATTTTACTTTTTAAAATTTTGTTTTATTTTCCGATTTTATTTGGTTCATAATATTATTTTCCTTGGGCTCGATACGGCAAATGTGCAGTACTTTTGACTACTTTGGAGAATAAAATGGAAAACCCTGTTTCTGGACAGGAGGAAACGGAGCTCCAGCATACAGCTGAAACGCCAGTGACTGGCAGCCTACACACTCCTGCTACAGGCTCCTGGAGGGAGGGCTGGCTTGGGTCTCCACATATGCCCCCTCCTCCTGCTCCTCCCCCTCCTTTCTCCCACGCTTCTCCCAACGTGTAAGAGCTTCAAAGCAATCTCTAGTAGCTAAGTGACCAAGTCTTGGAAGCCTGACATTGGGATGTTCTGGAAAAGACTTTGGAGACAGAATAGGACAGGCAGCAAAACCCAGCTGCATCTAGAAACAGCTCTATTTTGGTGACAGTTCCTGTGATGCTTTCAAATCAGCAAAATATCTCTTTAAAACAGATAATCTTCTGGCTGCTAAGCTGGGTTGTTTTGTTTTGTTTTGGTATGGAAACATTTTATAGTTCAGAAAACTTTCTTGAATAAAAAAAGTTATATATTTTCTTCAATACTGCAATCAAGTAGCTAAGGTGTTGGAAATGTTAACAGCAACGAAACCATATTTGTTGTAAGAACTTAACGCTCTGATTGCTTGCATTTTTCCTTCTACCTCCCTCCACATTTCTTTTTGTCTATTAAAAGGATACCCATGATGACCTCCTGGGTATATTTCTAAAAAAAAAAAAAAAAAGAATCCTTTTGTCTTAAATTCCATTAGTTTTTGAGCCTCTGGAATTTCACAAGAGGTGTCAAATTTAGCTGACCCCAAACTTTTCACTTGAACAGAAATAGAAGCCTAGAGGGGAAAAGCCATGCTGTGTGCTAAGGATATATGACCCATGAAAAGAACTACAATAGAATATGTTAAATGATCTCGTTAAGAGCATTACAATTCCTCAGAGTTCTGTTTTACCTCTCTTGGAGTGGGGTGTATAGAGCTTTGTTCAGATTTGCTGTGGCTGATTCTAATAAAAATAATTTAAAAAACAAATCTGAAATGAGTTTTTATTCACTAATTTAATGCTTTTACCAATATTACCTTTTTTAGTTTCTTCACCTCTTTTGTTGTCAGTTGTTATTCATTCATCGATTCAATTCTTAGTAAGTGCCTATCATGTTTCTATGGGGAATAGAAAGGTAACTAAGAAACAGATCCTACCTGCAAAGAATGTAGTCTCAATTTTGTAATTTTAGACTTGAAATATTATGTCTCTGATTTTTTAAATCCAATGAAATGATGAGATGTTATTTATATGTCGTGCCTTGGGTGCATTCTATAAACACACATTGGTATTTTATGGCAAACTTAAACTGCTTTTTGGGGGCCTTTTGCCATTTATGGTTTTGCTCATACAACTCTTTCTGGCCTTTAGACTTTGCTCAGAAAGACCCTTCGCTATTTCTAGAACAGGACCTCACACTTGGGGATAGCAGACGTGTATAGACATGCTTGTTCTTCCTCAGAATCTGTGCAGTCGTGTGTGTGAGACTGCACATGAGCACAGAAAACTGTCCCCGCCATGGGAACTTGCAGTACTGTGGAGACAAACCAGGCAGCAAATATCTACCGTAAGACAAGTTCCGTAATAGAGGTTCCTACCAAGTGCTACTATGGGAGCATAGTTGGTAGGACCTTGGAGAAGGGATGTAGGTAGTTTGGGAAAGTTCAAAGCAGGAGATGACACAGGATGCCCGGATGGAAAAGAATGGCTTAGAAGGCAGGGGACGAAGAAGCTATCCATCCAGGGGTTTTGTGGGAGACGAGGTAGAGCCTGGGGCTGTTGTTCGTCCCTCTGGCCAGAGCTGCCTCCATAGCTGACCCAGTATGCTTGTTCTTCACCAAATCCAGTCTCAAGGATGCCTGTGACTCTCCAACACACATGCCTGTGTGAGTCAGTCTGAAGGAATCCAGGGGTGGTATGGGCCATTCACTTGCAGATACTCTGAGATTCTCAGAGAGCTGTCCTTGGAATCTGGGAGGGTCTAACAGCACGCCCTCTGCGCTCAGAGGGGAAAAATAATGTTTGTTCTTATTTTTGAAGACTCTTTCTGCTGACTTCAGCACATTTCACCACATCTGCATAGCGACTAAGAAAGTCCCATATAAAGTCCTGTAGTGTGCCAGGCACAGCCTGACAGGCACTGGGGCGGCCTCAGTCTTACCCTAGGGGTCTGCCCAAGTACACACAGCTGACAGGTGTGCAGCCCAGGTCTTGGGACTCTCTGTCCACTGTACCACATCAGTCTGATTTATTGGAAATTGACTTTTTTAAGACAGTGACAGTCTTGTGATTATGCAGAATGATAAACTGCTTTATAGGCATCTGTAAATTCCTGGCATCTGAAATTCCATCTCTAGGGGTTTCTTCCTCCTATGAATCGTTGTGAACAGAGGAAACTCCAGCAAGTCTTATCAGTTGTGTATGCAGAGAATATCAGAGGTTCTTCTCAGAGCTGGCTGTTACTGGGGGGCTGTCAGGGAGGGTGCTGCCCAGCTATCACTGGGCAGTGAAGGTGGACAGAGCTGCAGAAGCCTGGAAGAGGAGAGGCACTGGGAGATGAGAACCATTTTACCCAACACATACTTTCTATTTAGGACATGCTCGAACTGCTTCTTGGGTTGACCATCCAAATTTGCTAGAACTTTGGTTGTCAATGTGACAGCAGCAATGAGGGAGGGTAGTCTGATTTCTTTCCTTGTGATCCGGGCCTCCGGTTGTAAATATTTTGGATGACTTCAGTGGGATCCTCCTTGTCACCCATAATGAGAACAAGCCACAAAGTGGAAAGAAGCCTGGGTGGGGACAGGCTCACCTTCCCTGCAGAGTGGGCTGACAACCATATCCTATAAAATGACCCCTTCCCTTCTGCTCAGGGTACCATGTGAAGCGGGCACAGTGGAGATTGCCTGGGAGTGTGGCCCATTTCTGCTGCTCCTGGTAGATTCTGGGCAGCTAAGGAGGGGCTGTGTAGGCTGCCTGTGTGCTCAGAGCCAACCGGCACCACGAGCTGGGACACAATTAACGGGTAACTCGGTCCTTTTCCAACCTAATTCAGATGTTCCATTATGAGTCTTTAGAGTTGGACCAAGCTAGTCCAAATATCATTCTGTTTACCTGACCTAGTAAAATGGCTTGTGTTTTTTTTTTTTTTTAAACAGGGAACTGAATTCGTAGCTTTTTTCACCCTACAATTATTGTACAGGGGATCTGGAAGGGAAACTTCTGGATCTTAATTGCTTCATTTTGCAGAGTTGCTGTGTACCACAGCGGCCAAAGCACAGGCTTTGGAGGCCTGAGGACCTGGGTTCTAACTCTCAGGTCTTAACTGTGTGAGATACACAAGCTTTTGATGTCTGAGTTTCTTCCTTCTAGTAGGGGAATAATAGTACTTACGCCCAGGTTGCTCTAAGGATTATGTGAGCTGGCCATGTGGAGGGCAGGGTGCTGTGGTCATTGCTATCAGTATTATCATCATTAGCCTCTGGAATTTAAAGGTCCTGTCTGTGCTTAGAAAGACAGGCCCAGATCTAGTGTAGAGCAAGTGGCCTCTGTCCCCAGTCCTGAGTCTGGTCACTCTGTGCTGTGTCATCTGGAATACGCCCTGTATTTATATGTGGCACCACTTACAGTCACCCACGCAATGCTGCACTGAAAGCAGACCAAGGGCACAAGTGGCATCCTTTTTTTATGCTACACAGATATGCTCCTGGGACATAGAGGAGAAGGAAACAAGTTTTAAGAAAATATAAGACCTGACATGACTTTGAAGGTAGGCTCTGCCCTGTCCCTGCGAAACCTGTAGAATGCCCTTAATTTCTTGAAATCTTGGTTTCCTCATCTATAAAATGGGGATAACAGTAGAGCCTCAATCGTGGGATAACTGTAGGAGTGAACAATCTGTAAAGGTACGTCGCACATTGGCTGGCACACAGCCAGCACCCCCCACATGGAGTTACTAATATTCCTGGTACATCCTCATCATCCTAATGAGGAGTGCTGGGAGGAAGGTGAGGACCTTGTCCTCTTCCATTTGAGTGCTGGGAGAGAACCTCAGCACTCTGCTTCCACGAGTTCCACAAAGTCACAACCTGTAATTAGTCACCTGTGAGGAGCTTCACTCCATGCCCGTCTACCTGCTCCACAGGGAGGGCTGCTGTTTGGCCCTATGTGAAGTAAGAATCCCATCTGTTTGCTTTCCTTCTTGGATCCTGGCGCCTGGACCTGGCACATGGTAGGTGCTCAATAAATATTTGCTGAACAAATGAATACAGAGGGATAACACATCCTTGTTACTTCTCTGGACCATCTCCTTCTGGGACAGTTGAAAGAGCACAGGCTCCAGACGTAGCCTTGGGTTCAAATCCCACGTACCTGGCTGACTAGCCTTGGTGTCACTGCTGACACTTGTGCCTCGGGGCCCCAGATGTGAGGTGTGGGACTGGTGACCACACCTGTCTCCCAGGGTCGTTCTGAACATCCAGGGAAGTAGTGGAGGATGAATTTCAGCAATCTTCCTTTCTTATGAAGACATCTTATAGGAATTGAACTAGCATGTTGGAGTTTTCTTAATCACTACATCTTACTTTTAATACCTTTTCCAAAGACAGGAATTCTCCTGTTTTTCATTAGTTTTGTCTGTATAAACAGATGTGCTGGACATAAATGAACTAAAGTAAAATCCAGTTTCTAAAAACTCATAAAAACTAAATTATGCCAGATTATAAATTTGATCTTGTATTTCAGCTTTTAGAAGCTGACCACTCTGATTTAGTAAAAATAGGACAGTGTTTTTCCTCACTGAGGCATCTTAGGGTCACTATGCAATTTATAAATTTGTGTCTCTTGCTTCCCCCCCCCCCCCCAATTTGTTTGCTAGGCTAATTCTGATTCTATGTTGCTTTGCTCCTTAGAGACACACCTGGATGAGGACAGCTTACCCAAGAATAGGTATCAGCTAGTGTTTAAGAATCTTCTCAAAAGACAGTTCTTTCCAGAAAGTACCCTCTCCTAATTCCAGGATCCTAGGAAGGGCACCCCAAAACACATGCCATGATTTGGGCCTCCTCTCCCACCTCCTTCAAAAGGGGCTTCATTCCTTCGGAGCTCTTGGCAACGTAGATATCATCTGGCACTGGGCACCCAGGGCCCTTATGGAGCATGAGGGTGAGGAGGCCCAGCCCTGAGCTGGTCAGTCCACTTTGGCAGCACCCACTTAATTTCTCTACTTGCAATTTGAAGGTGATGGTTTTGGGCACACAGCTCACAGAGCAAGGTTGCAGAAGTGGCCTGTGTAAAAAAAAATTGTTAGAAAAAGACTCCGACCTTTCTACTGGTGGAAACAAGCAGCATGTACCCACGAAGCAGGTTTCTGATGCCTTCCTCCCTGGGACTCTCCCTGGGGAGCTGCCTCAGAAGGTCTCTGCACCCCCTAGTCAGCGGGGGCATATGGAGGCCGGGCCAGGCACCAGGGCTTTCCAGCAACCTGCTCCACCTCATCTCGGGTTTGACGTTTTTTGCTCCCTCCACTAGCTACCTGTCTCACCGCTAGTAAGGCCCCACACCCTCACTCAGGAAGCCATTGTGCACCTTATGCTCCTGATCATGGTTACTTCAGTGCTCCGGAATCTGGCCCGGACCGGGCGCCGCCCTTGCCGGGGTCGGGAACGCATTCCCCAGCTCCAGCTTCCCCCTTGCCCTGGGTCCCGGTCCCCGCGAACCCCCACCCTCCGCCCGCCAGGCCACCCCCTGCCCTGGGTCCCACGTCCCCAGGCCCTATCCCCGCCCCCGCCCAGCCTCCACCTGCCGCCCGCCGCCGCCGGGCTGACCGCCTCCCCTTGCTCTTCGCTGGCGCCAGCCGCTCGATGGGTCTTGCACTCTGATTATTTGTGTTAACAGTTAATTTAGCACCGTGGCCACGTGTGCCAAAGCTGCCTCCACTTCCTGCGGGCTCCCAACAAATGGCACTTTTATGAGACCTTTCGAAGCGGCTCCGGGGCAGTCTCCGGCGTTCGTGGCCTCGGCCTGGGCGCACAGACCCCACTTCTCTGGCCTTGCATTCTCCACCGGGGGCGCCTACTCTGTTCAGGCCACGTAGCAGCTGCGGTCTTGAGAAGTTTGCAGGAAAGGAGCTATTTCTGGCAACTCCGCCCCTCCACCCCCGGCACTGTCTGATCTAATGGAGATTTATAGAGCCAGCCCTGTGCGCACCGCGGCGGCGCTTTCCCGGACGCCCGCTTGTGCCGGGTGCCGGCGATTACAAAAATCTGTGCTTGGTCCTAGCGGATGGCTGACTGCTGTCCTGACAAGCTTGGCTGACTTCCGCTCCACCCCCCCACACCCTGGCCTCCGATAATTTCGTAAAATGTGGAAACACGCACGGAATATTTCTGATCCCTTTCGACTCATCCTAACATCCCATTCATCCATCGGATCTAATTCCTTTCAGTCCCTGGGGTGGTTCCTTGTGCTAAAATGCCTTGATGTCACGAAACACGTGTTTTGGCTTTTAATCCCTTCATAAATTTTTTCCCAACTAAGTGCGGTATTTTGCAGCAAGGAGAGGGAAATGGCTCCTTCAAAGAGTTACAGAGAGGAGGCCTTTGATATCCACCAGAGTTTTCTAAACTCTGGCTTTTCTTTCTTTTAAAGAATTGATTTTTCCCTTGCTTAGATTTTTAATATAGGTGATGTTCCAGAATACTAATAATATTTAGTCTTTTACTTATGGGGAAAACTCTATCATGTTTGCAGTGTATGTTCTGGCACAGAGAAGAGGCTGTGTAAGCTGCTTATCAGGACTTAGAAAGAGGGGTTAGGTGTGAGCTGGCAGGGACCCCGGTCTTTTCTGGTCTAAGGGACCCTAGTAAACCTGGGCCAATTTTAGTGTAAACTGGGGATTGCAATCTGCTCTGCTGTCACTCCAGAACAGTTTAGACCAGGGATTGCCCTGGATGGGCTCAAATTCTTGCATATCCTGCATTCCTCAATCCATTTTGGATGGCTGGAGACTGGGCACCTCCAGTTCTCAGGGAAGGTTTCTGAGACTAACCCTTAATGGTGGAATTACCTTTTGTGTTGGAGCTGGGTGTGCATTTAACCTCACTTCTTTCTATTTGACTCTTACCTTCCACTTTCTCGGACCATTCAAATTGAATGTCCCCACCATAAGATCTCCATGTAGTCACCTACCATTTGGCAAAAACCCCTACTTCTCCCCTTAAAAATGAGTGTGTTTGGGGCTGACCCCACTCCCTAAAGAGAGAGACAAACGTGTCTGTTTCTACATGAAAATGTAAATGCATGCCTGGAGCCTGTGTCTGTGTGTTGTGATATCTGAACAGGGATGATGAAATCTGTCTTCCATACCCAGAATGCTAAAACTATGTTTTTTTTTTGTTTTTAAAGGTTTTATTTATTTATTTGAGAGAAAGAGAGAGAGAGAAAGAGAGTGAGAGAGAGAAGGGGGAGGGGCAGAGGGAGAGAGAGAAACAGACTCCCCGCTCAGCAGAGAGCACAACAACGACTATCCCAGGGTCCTGGGATCATGATCTGAACCCAAGGCAGACGCTTAACCCTATTGAGCCACCCAGGCACCCCTAAAATTATGTTTTTGAAGGTCACCAAGTGGCCTCCAATGTGTCAAATTCATGGCCAAAACCTCATCCTCATTCCCATTAAGTTCTCAAACATATTTGACAAAATTGTTCAGTCAGACTCTGTCTGGAAACTCCTCTGATCTCTGCTACCAGGAACAAACCAACCCCTCTCCCAGTTCCTTTTCCTACTCCTGCCTCCAGACTGGATGGGTTCAGGTTGCATCTTCAACACCTGTCTTTTTGCAGATGACTCTGAAATTGAAATGCTTAGTCCTAAAGGCCAGCCCCATATTTCTAACTAAATCAGACACTTATGAGTGGTTGAATTGCCATCATCTGGGATGTAACATGTTCAGTTGTTTGTTGGTTCAATAATGCTGACAATCTAGTGTCTATATTCTTGGTGTTGGGGACATAGTAATGAAAAAATAAAACATCAAGTCCCTGCGGTGGTAGGGATGAGGATCTACTGGAAGCAAGGTCCCAAGTGCCCAGGACTGCCATGCTTCTCATCTCCTGGGATCACACACTTGCAGACTGTTTAATGTTCCCAACATTAATGTTCCCATTCCATCAAGGCCTGTTGGTTCTCCTTTCACAATGGCTTTCTAATCCATTCTTATTTTTGTTGTTGTTGTTCTTTTTTTCTTCTCCTTCCTTCTGAATTCCTAACTACTTCTAGATTCTTCAGACCTCCCCCCACTGAAACTGTGATGTTTTCTCCCCCTGCTGCTAGATTACTTTTCATAAAGTACAGATCTGTCCGATTCAGCTATTCATTAAACAAGCAAATATATTAAGAACCTATGATATGCCAGACACAAAGCTAAGTGCTGAGTGTATAGAGAAAAAAAAAGACAGCTGTAGAAATCCTTACAGATCTCACAATCTACTGTATAGAGAACTGGACTAAAAACCAAATTAAAACACAGTGTGATAACTAAGAAATTTGATTCTCTATCATCTACTAGATTAAACTTATGTTTTCTTACCACGGATCCAAAGCTCACCACCACCTGGGCCCAACCTGGCGTCCTAGCTTTCTTTAATCTCCTTCCTGTCCTGATGACCACACTGTGCTAAGTGCCTCTTCCGGAGTGTGCCCCACCTTTCCTGCCATTCTGTTTTGCCTTTGCCTTTTCTGTTTGTCTGAAATGCCCTCACCTACCATCACTATCAATTCAAATTCAATCTATCCTCTAAAACAGAGCTGAAATCCTGTGTTTTCCAAGCAGCTATTACTCAGAATTCCTCCAACTGAAAATCTTAGCCCCTTTCCCAAGCTTTTTAAACATTCTATTTGGATCCATTCCATGACATCATCAGACACTGCCTATTATTGGAGTTATTTGCACCCTTGAACTCCCTGCTATAGTGTAATTTTCCCTAAGAGCAGAGACCCCATATTCTTTGTCTTGTTATAATCTACAGTGAAATTGTGGTAAGCTGCAGATGTAGACAGGGAGTACTTTTGAGTGAATGAGTGGCTAATTGAGAGGGCTCACAGAGGAAGTAGACATCCTTGGGGCTTTAGGAGTGGGGGTCATATTCAGGCTATTGATGTGAAGGACAAAGATCCTTTCTCAGAAGAGAGGAGACTATAAAGGTGTAGGGTTTTGGAAAGAACCACAGACAGAGAGAAGACAGCAACATCATGATTGGAACATGGGCCTCTGAACTGGAGAGCCTGGCATTGTTAACCAAGTATATTTTCAGTGAGAATTTAAAATGACTGTGTCAAAGACCCCAGAGGAAAAATACCTTATTTTACGTGAGCTAAGGGGAATGACTCAACCCTGATTTCAGAGTGAAACTAGAATAGACCAGCCCAGAAGAACAGTAACCCCAGGGACTAAAGGGAAGTAATGATTAGAAGCTTCCACAAGTTAGCTAATTCTTTAAACCAGTTAGCTGAGTGATATAGTTTGTTCTTTTGCGATCTCTACTGTATGTAATTTGTACCCTGACTTTCCCCTCTGCCCCCAGGGGGCCCATTTTCTATGGAAGAGCCATTAAGACTGACCTTTAAAAGGATGAAGGATTGTAGGGATCACAGAAACACAGAGGACTTCCTCATATTATGGATGAGGAAAACAGATTTTCAGTAGCTCATTAGTGGCAGCTGGGAAGGAGTCCTTTCTGCTGCATTCAGCAGGTGGATTTTTTTAGGATGCTTTTGACTTACATTGAAAGAGCATCTCAAAGTGGCTTAAACAAGTAAAGAAAGGTATTTCTCATTTCTCTGAAAGGCCACAGGCTCCAGGTCTGTGGCTCTACTTCATGGTTGACCCTGACTAGCAGCAACACCTGGAGCAGCAACTTTGCATCCACCTGGATGCTGAGGCCGACTGGCTGTAGGTGGAGTTCCAGAACCATCTCTGACAAGGGGGATGGGGATGTGAGCTTGACTTAGATGCCTCAGGGCTCACTCATGGAGCTGGACATGGGGTCAGGTTTCCCTGAGCTCTGTGGGCTGTCTAGGTGGCTTCTTGCAGAAGGGGTAAGAGGGAAGGATGCTTGGGAGGCACCAGAGAATGGCCTGGAAAATGGAGGGCAGTTCCTCACACATATCATGCTTGGGAGCCACATAGCATCGAACAACTTACAAAGAATGTTGGTTGAGTTTTAAGTCCTTAGATGTCAGATATTTTACTTTTTAAAAACTACCTACGGCATGCTAGAGCACGCTCACTGCCTGGGATTCTGGGACTGTGCAGGCAGGGAGGCTGAGGCTGCTCATTTTCTCTGGTCACAACCTGTCCCCACAAGGTCTGCCCCTAGTCTGCCTTTCCTCCAGTCCCTCCCACCTCAGTTACTGGCTGACTCCCTCTGCATGTTCTGCCATCCATTCTCTGTCTTTTCCCATAAGCCTTTTCTTTCTTTCATGGATGCATATGCCCGGTGTAGCATATGCATATGCATATACTGAAGTAGCATTTAAATTCTGAGTTGAAGCAGATATTTAGGAAATTGGGAAGGTGCATCAAAATCTTTTCCAATCTTATTCTTTTTTAGTGCTAACTACTCTGTATTGAGCAAACACTTGTACTGGACATTGTATATAACATGATCTCATTGAAGCCAGGCAAGAGTTCTGTGAAGGGGCTGTTAAGAGACCTGGCTATAATCATATAAATTGTTGGGGTTCTGGATTGAAACCCTATGTTTTTATCTTTACAGTCTTCTGCCAAAGTCTATCTCATTGAGGGAAATTTAATATTGCATAGTTTTTGGTCATCAGCATGGGTGGCTAAGTAAAGGTCAGCATCTATAACCCACCAAAGAGACCTTGGTGTTTTCTAACTACTCCCCTATTATACATTTAATGAGGTTTGTCTGGGAACAATGCACTCTGTACAGTGGAACAATCTGACTACATTCCTTACTGACAGATAGAGGTTTGGATAGATCAGGGGCCAACTGTGCCTCTAATACATTTTTACATGTGGATAGAAATACCACAGCCTGATTATATGGAGCCTAGTTTCTTCAGGACTGGGCATCCTGTGCCCAGGCGCCACTACTGTGGAGGGATCTCACAGTGCCAAGGCCTTCGTGGCTGATGAGCAAAGCAGGAAAGAGACAGTCCAGGTTGGCCTCAGTTGGGCATTTGCTTTACCTGTTCAGGTTCTGCCACGGCTCTTGCACATGCTGACGTTGCCTATG